CGTGCCATGCCCACCACCAATGCAGCGAAAAGCTGACCGATGCCCTGCAACACAAAGACTAAAGAACAGCTACAACTACGATGTAGAATATTGTCAGGAAATGCTAATCATGGGCCTTGTTGTCACTGCACAGGTGTAATACATTGTATGACTAAGCAAAGTGCTGCTTGTTCTGATTTGGATTGTGAAGTGCTTGGGATCCAGGGAATGTTGGGCTTTGTGTTTCCAAAGGCTGAAAGAGAAACATCCGCACAAGACATCACAAAACTGCATTCTGAAGTGAGAGGGGCGAATAGCCCTTTCCCACAAGCGGCCTGTGCACAACCGCCCACTGCCACCATGGCAATGGCACAGCCCAGCACGGAGACACCCGCATGTCGCTTGGAGAGAGGGGCACCTGAATCGCCAAAAGAGACCAGCTGCTGGGAGTCTTCTGAACCCAGGATATCGTTCTCCATCTTGCTTCAAAGGAATCTGCTGCACTTACAAGCGTGTGGCAAACACATTTGCAAAAGCAGAAATATCGAGGCTACATCACACAGGCAGGGGCCAATCCAGAGCTAACAAACCGGGCTGGACAAAATGGTGACACCCCCAATAGCTCACTATTGAGGCAAAAACGTGCATGAATGCGAAGTGCGAATTCATGAAAAATGAAACTGCATCCACTGGTTAGGTTTCAGGCACAAACCTGTTCAGTCAGAAAATGTCACTAAGCTGTGAACCGAGGCCCACAGAAGCCAAGGGTGCCACAGTTGCACCGCTTAAGGTGACCTGCAGGCAAAACAAAGAGTCTTGAAGGTGTTTCGTCTTTCAGGTTTTCAACAAATGCTCCTCGCTCTTGAGGACCCCAACATCGGCTGATGGAACGGCCCGGCAGAGGATGGATGCACCTTCGTGCCCATGAAAGACATGAAGTGTACTGCCAATGTGCTTCTTAGTAGCAAGGGCACTACTACCAGTAACAAGGGCATTACTGCTGGTAACGAGGGCACAACTACTAGCAACAAGGGTCATTACTAGATAGAAGCTACTACTTACTAGTAGCTAACGGGATTAATACTCGTAACAAGGGCATTACTACTAGTAACAAGGTTCATTTTTAGCTACTAGGTCAAGTCCAATTCGGTGGGCGCTGCTTTGTTTCAAAGGGCACTCAGTGACCAGCTGGCCTTGGCTGCGTCGATCGCTTCAAGTTTGTTAGGCGTTACGCTACTGGATTTGGATTGGGTTACTGCTGGAGGGCATTCTAGTTCTGATCGTGATTCTCACTGCAGTGATGTCACATTGCCAACTTCCCACTTCGCACTGCTGGTCAAGCTTGATAGTACCCGGCGGATCTGGTGAAACCAAATTGTGAGGAGAAATCTGGAAAGTGCAATCATGCATGGTTTGCGTTCCTATGCTCCTTCATCCGTAATGACATGGGTGAGTCCGCAAGTGTTCATTCAGTCGTTGCACCTCGGCTTCGGTGTTTGAAGAACAAATGGCGCAACGACACAATTGGCTGCAAGTCCACCGTGTTTCAGTGATAGTATACCTTCAGGATGGTTGCACATTGCACCTGTGATCAGCACACCTGGACACCTGTGATTGGCCAAAGACATGGTGCCCATGGTCGAAGAAGGTGAGACATTAGAAATCCTTAAAAAGGTGAGATGTTGTAAATCAATCGGTTGAAGTGAGCTAGCAATGCCCTTGTTACTACTACTAGTAGTAATGCTCTTGTTACTAGTAGTAATGCCGTTGTTACTAGTAGTAATGCCCTTGTTACTAGTAGTAATGCCGTTGTTACTAGTAGTAATGCCCTTGTTACTAGTAGTAATGACCTTGTTACTAGTAGTAATGCCCTTATTACTTGTAGTAATGCTCTTGTTACTAGTAGCATTGCCTTTGTTACTAGTAGTAATGCCCTTGTTACTAGTGGACATGCTCTTGTAACTAGTAGCATTGCCCTCGCTACTACTAGTGATGCCCTTGCTGTTTCGGATATGTGTCTGTGGATCTTTACAATCAAAAGCCTTCCTCCCTGAAGTAACTCACTGGCCTGGCGCAGCCGCTCGCACTGCTGACACCTGCCATTTCTGAGATGTCATGTAAAAGTCGTAGCATAGACAGAGAACCCATGCAAACATATACATACAGTACAGTATAAGACTCGTAAAGTATCATAAGCACATGCTTTGCACCTGAGCCACTGAACGAACTGCCTGACGAAGCAAAGCCATGACCTCTGCATCTTCGAACACACAATAAATTGGGACATGAGGAAAGACTGTTCAACACAACCGCGCCTGTGAGCGGTATTTGAGATCTGCTGGAGCCGTGCTGTTTCTGGTCTCTGAGCTAAAACAAGCGCATGGCGAATCTCTCAGGTTTGCCGAGCAATATCGAACGTCCCTCATTCCGACGATATAAGAAGCAAGTACAGGACTGTCGTACATGTCAGCTCTCCCACAACAGTTTGGCGTTCTGAGACAGACTGTTTTCTATGTTCGAGGAGCCACATGTCACTGTCGCTGCCTTCTGCAACCTGGCATGGCTACAAAGCTGCTCAAGTTTGACAAGGTGCAAATTTGAAGGACAAGCTGTGCAAAGCATCGGGCGTTTGACTGGCAATTCGCAATCCGCGCTTCGTTTTCCGCCTTGCACTGAGAACAAGAGCTTCAAGGTCATATCTGAAGCAGCTTGGATGTGGAGATGTCAAAGTTACCACAGCCGGTCTCCGAAGTACTGGTGTGCATGCTCATCGACCCACTGTTGGTCACACTGACTGGTACAAGGTCCTTTGCAAAGGACACGCTGCCGGCGAAGGCTTTGCTTCAACTCCCAACCTTCCTGGAGAAGACGATCCACTTGCTGCTGTTCAGGGCCATTCTCTTGATGAACCTCCACAATGATCATTGAAAGAGTCTTCAAAAGAGTTGGATTTTCCTCCAAGAAGGTGCCGAAGCAACCTTCACAGTCGATGGCCAAAGTGTCGAAAGTAGCGTTGAAGGATTGGACCGAGAAGGCAGGAACAGGAGTCCCAGGGCGTGGATCATTCAAGTCAACGGTGTGCTTCCCATAGCCGAGCACAGGAGATGCTCCATCTCTTCGTACGATCTTGAAACCTTTTGACCCAACAACACCTCGCACCACTTCTGCACTGCAGTTGTGTTTTGCAAGATTTCCTTCAAGAACATCCCAAATGTCTGGATCTGCATCCGATGAGAACAGCTTTGCACCTTGGCTTGGGTGCAAAAGCTTCGAAATCAAACATGTTGTCTGCCCGTAGCGTGCTCCCACTTCCAGAACTGATGCACCAGGCCTGATCCAAGTGGTATACATCAGCCGCGAGCCGTGTTCAATCTTGCAAAGAAAACTGGCACCAGCTTCTGTGTCGAAGCTGCAGTCATCTTCAACAAGGTCAGCGCATTTGCGTGTTGGAAGTTGCGCTGGCTTAACTTTGCTTTGGATCAGTGACTGACCGCTGGCACCACTGGCACCACTAGCGCAGGTGGCACCGGTACTGTCATGGCAATCTGCTGCGGCAAGCTGGGCCATTAAGGCGGCTGCAAGGAAAGCCATGGCGGCCATGATGACCTGAGACTCTACGGTAATCAAGCGGTAAAGTTGAAGACCAATACTGGCAAGCAGAGATGGCTCCAAAGGAAGTACATGGAAGTACTGTATTAGCTTATATAAATTCCAAAATTGGTGTGATTTGGTGATGAACTGCTTGCAGAACAAAGCATTGCTGCAACCCACCTGCTCGGGCAAAATCACCTCAAGCAAGGTCGTGTCACAAACCGGAGATCGAGGGCTGCGTTTGGAAGAAAAAGGTATAGTACAGTACATGTTCTGAACACTCACTGGCACGTTCTGCTCGTCGTCGCAGCTTTGCTTCAATAGTCTAAGTACGAGAAGGCCGTCCTGTCTCAAATGGTCTCTTTGAGCCCGAGACCTCCAAGCGCGCTTCACTCGCCACCTCGCTGAAGTGCTCCAACATTCTCTTGCCCAGCCCGCGGCCACTGTGTTCTGGAAAGGCGGCAAGGCAACTCTTTATGAAAGGACAAGATCTAAAATGTCAAAATGCTCTTTTTTTGCCCGCTCCTACTTGATTGAGGAGGCGCCTACTTGTCTTCTTGATGGAAGCTCCCCGCCTGAGGGCGGGGGAGCTTCCTTGAAGAAGCCCTCACACTATTCATTTGTTTCCTAGATTTTTAGGGAAAAGATACAGTAAGTGGCTCCTTTAAAGCTGTATGCATTTTGACTTTATGTCGACTTGAACTCATTTGTACTTGTCTCATGTAAACTTGATCTCAGACGTGCCTGGTACAACGAAAACAAAGTGTGGCACAAGAATCAGCTGGCCCAGTTCTGCCGAGCATGGTGCCCATGGCAATGCTGAGACTGGCCGAGCAGCCCTGTGGCGGTCTCCCCAAACAGAACCCGACAAAACGTACATGTCCGAAGCGAGCTTAACTCACATATACTATAAGCGGTCCACACCTGTGATTCTCATCCAGCAGTTTGGCCTCACTGGGTCTAAGGACAGACCTGTCAGCATCAACAAAGCGAATGTTCATGGAGGGCTACAATTATATACATTCTTCACAAATCTTTATTTGTGTATTCAGGTGGTGGCTTCACAGTCTGGTCTCGTCATACAAACAAAGGTTTTGTCATTCAACCCTCATGACCTCTGACTTATCTGGACCACCCCACCTGAGCTGCTCTAGGACACCGATGGTAGTAGGATGCTGGAAGCCTGGAACGCCAACTGGCACAGATCTTCTTGGCTGTAGGTTGGAGGCCATCGCTCTTAGGTTCCCTTTGCTATTAGGTTGGAGGCCATCGCATTTACCAAAATGCCTTGAGAAATGCATCGTGGGTTGCATGTCCACTCACCGAAGGCTGAAAGCACCAGACTCCTTCGATCCCTAAATATGATCGACACACATAAATAGATCAAGTCCAATACCATTCGCGTTAGCTGTAAGACAGTCAATACACACAGCCGATGTTTGGCGCCTAAAGACCGCTGCAGCCCAGCAAGTGCTTGACGCCATGTGTCTTCGGCCTCTTGCCAGAAACAGCAGCGTGAAGACCAGGCGTATCAATACCTAGAACTATATATAACGAGAGAATACACAGCCCCCACAAATCACGATGCATCTACACACCAACAACGACCCGAGACACTAAACAACACATGTAAATACAGTATCATAAGGAGCATTAAGGAGCCATAAAGGAACCTAGTGGCATTCATCACTCTTGGAACATGGCTATGTCATCGTTTAGGTGACTTTGGCAAGGACACGCGTCATTTTTGCCCCGCGCTTCACATTGCTTCGTGTCCATGTGTTTTTGGTCACCCACGGCTTTGCCTCCTTTACATATGTATATATGTGCACTTTTTGCAGTTTCTTGGGGTTTTTGAGAAAATGTGTAGAAAAGCGACCTCTCTTCTTCTTTGTTTATTTTTCGCAGGGCGCCACATAGATATGACACCTATTGCGCCTTCCGCGGAATGAGTTGCTCTGTGTACGCGCATCTTCGCTGGTCTTGCCGTCTCGTTCTCCACACTGTCATCAGCAGTGAACTCAGTGAGTGGTTTTCTCTTGCAATGTTTCATGGCAACGTCCAAGAGTGCTGGAGTGTAGGCACATTCTTTCACCAAGTTGCATTTAAAGGCACCCCTTGCATCAAATGATCATCGGTTTGTATCATCATTCTCTCATAATTTAATTGTCTTTGTTAGCATCACACGATCACCTGTGTTCCCATGATGTCAATGTCATCAGTCAGTTGCACCACATGTTTTTTACTTTTATGGTTCTTCTTCTTCTTCCTCTTCTTCTTCTTCTTCTTCCTCTTCCTCTTCCTCTTCCTCTTCTTCATCATCATCATCATCCATTCCACCCTCATTATCATGAGCACCATTGATGAACTGGAGTGAACTTGTTTCGGCATGGATAAGTGGAGGAATGGGGAGGCTGTGCTAACCTCTCTCGTCGATCTATGAAATGGGCGTACAACATCCCCGAAGTGCATGCATGCATACCTGGCTGTGACGTTTTGATCACCACAGAACTGAGGCTACATACATCCACCTTCCTCACAGCACATACCCGATGAGCCGCAATGGCAGAAAGGCGTATGCACCTGAGAAAGGCAGCAACAACGACAAGGCAAAAAAAAAGTAGCCCCGTCAGCACACATCTTCTTACTTGGTCTCTACCCTCCTACAAACAAAAAACTGCAGCCCCGCAGTTGATGTTTAACCCCCCTCCAAAGCGACAAACCAGTACTGGCAGTACCACTACTACTACTACTACTACTACTACTACGACTACCACTACCACTACCACTACCACTACCACTACCACTACCACTAGTAGTACTACTACTACTACCACTACTACTACTACTACTGCCGCCACTACTACCACCACTACTACTACCACCACTACTACCACCACTACTACCACCACCACTACTACTACTACTATGAGTACTGCGTAGTAGTGGCAGAAGCAGAAGCAGAAGCAGAAGCAGTACTACTACTAACCCTCCTCCTACTCCACCTGCTCCTGCTGCTACTGCCCCTGCTACTACCAACTACCACTACCACCACCACCACCACCACCACCACCACCACGACTACTACTGCTAGTGCTAGTACTAGTGCTACTGCTACTGCTACTACTACTATTATTACTACTACGACGACTACTACTACAGGGCCAACCACCACCTAATAGAAACAAGAGCTGTTTTTTGCGTCTCTACCCCTCCTAGAAACAAAGACTGCAGCCCCGTTGGTCACGCCCCGCAGAACAACACCTCAAAAAAACTTCACCGACCCAGACTTCAGTGGAACAAGAAACCAACATTCCCTCAAGCTTCAACCGTATCACTAACCATATCCCCGTGCACAACTACGTTGGCCAGCTGCTTTTGTTGTACGAGTACCGACAACAAGAAGCAGCAGCAGCAGCAGCAGCAGCAGAAGAAGAGAAGAAAAAGAAGAAGAAGAACAACAACAACAACAAGAAGAGCAACAAAAAGATAAAACGCAAGAACGGGTATCTCAGCAGGAAAGTCCAGCAGCACCGGTTTGTGTCCTTTGACTGCGCAGGTTTTAGTCTAATGTCCAACACAATGACATTGCGCAATGTACGTTGTACATGTTGCACGGTGTTCAACCATGTTCCGAAGCGCCCATTATGCCAAACCGACCCGTTTTTGTTTCCTCACGCGCGCGAGCAGTTTCTAAAAGCCATGTTCTTTGCAAGTGTAGCTCAGGACACTCGAAGCTCATGTTGGAACCTGGCTCCTGATGATCTTGGTCTGCACAACCCCTCCAGCTTTTGACTTCAACCAAGTGACATTTGGCTGGACATGAGCAAGTTTTAATGAAATCCAGTCCTCAAGACCATTGACACGTCTGGTTCCGCTGGTACAGATCCAACAGTATGCATGGTCCCCGAAGTTATGAGTTTGGTTTCGCAGCTATGAAAGCTCTCGCAGAGTTAGCAATGACCCATGGATAGCCAGCTGCATGTATAATACCACTGTTTCCTGGTTCACAATCTTTCTGAAGAAGCCCCTCAGAATCAGACCTCCACCTGGGAACCAACCATCAGCTGCCACCAACCCTTGCAAACCTTCTGCGGCTAGTTACATCGGTTCCGAGTCGTTGGTTATTCTCAAAATCTCCAGATACAGACCTCAGAGTAGAATTCTCGGGAAACAAACAAACACCTCACATTGTAGAAAACACGTAGAGAAGATTTGCAATGGGACTTGCGCTGCCACCCACGCGACCCACCCTCTATTGATGGCTGAAAACTGAATCCTCGCCTTGGCAGTGCGACCGAGCTCTGCTTGGAGGGCAGCAAGATCCCTCAACGCTTCCAAAGATTCAAAGTGCTCAAAGCCCAGCGTCTGCTGTTTTCCCTGGAGGCTCAAGGCTTGCAAATAGATAGTTCAAGCTTTAAGAACACCCTCTGAAGGGTATGGGTGGCTTTGGCCTTCTCTACATCAGCATAAATGCACCTCCGAACAGCAAGCAACGCAGCACAGCACCTCGACGGCCTCCTGAGCCAGGAGAGCTGCAGCCTGCAAGGCCGCAAGTTGTCTTCCAGACTTCCCGCGGCTGGCCAAAGCCAAGCTGAGATTCCTTAACAAGAAGGCATTGAACGTCAGATCCTTGAATGCTCCACGCTCCAAATTTATAAAGCTTCAATGAAACTGTCATACCTTCTCATCATGCCATACCTTCTTTGTACGCTTCGACTGAAACTGGGGATATAGGTAAATATATATATACTATATACGCTACCCCCGTGGCTGAATGCACCCTACGCGGCGCACACCTCTGAAAAAGATTGTAACGCTTTTTCGTCGCGTGGGCCACGCTTGCAAAATGCAAAGTCGGCCTACGCAAGTTTCGACTATAAGGGACTGAGCTCACAGACCCTTAACTCACCTTTGTTGCCACGCAAAGCAGAGGCAGCCCAAACTTTCTCCACGTCTAGCTATGGCAAAAGCAAGATTGATGTCCATTAATGCTCTACAATCTTGCTTCTTGCTTCTTGCTTTTGGTGTGCTTTAAATCGCTTTAAAGCCTTGAGCAGATATACCCATTCAAGTGTAGATGCACGACTGATCAGACCAGATGTACCATATATTCATTCAGATGCAAATGTATGTTCCCTCCCTCACATCCCCGCCCCAGGCGACAAAATTGTCGGTCGGGGGGGTATCATATATTATATATTATTAATATACAGTATTGTTCCTAGTAGCTTCTTGTTACTACTAGTAAGGCACTTGTTACTAGAAGCGATGCACTTGTTCCTAGTAGCGAACCTTGTTACTACTATATACAGTATATAGATACATGTGATATGTAGGTGTTCGGTCTCCGCTCCCATGCCAAAGTTCTGCAGGGTAGTCAGGGCCAGTGGATGCTTTGGTCCAAGAACTCGCTTCAAGGCTTGCCACGTGGCACGGAGTTCTGTCTCCGCTTCTGCAAGCCTCCGCATTTGAGAAACCACACGAGGCCAAGCAAGGCCTCATCTGGTAGTTACGGTTATGTATGGTTACCACTTACCAGTATACTTCCGTTGCCAGGCCAGTGCCTTCCAGCATTGCGAAGTGCCAGGCCCAAGTTGCAGCGAGTCTTTAGGGTATCGACGTGGTCACAGCCCAGCACCCGCTGGCGTGCTTCAAAGGTCACCTGGCTTGCTTGAGATCACTGTGATTGATAAACCACAGCCCAAAGTTAAGTGTACATTGCCGACCTCATAGAGGGCGCGCCCCTGGCACGAAGGATAGGAGGTTGCTAAAGGAGATGAAAGCGCTTTCAGCAGCATACAGGTAGACGTGGAGATGATTCTTTTTCTTAAGGGAGTGTTCCCTCATTCTTGCAATGTTCAAAACGATCAATTAAGACCAAACGCGAATCACTTCTCAGTCAGCTGCACATGTGTGGCACTGATAGTCTCTCTTGCGAGTCCTCCTCTCTGTCCCCTGCAGCATTGGCAGCCATGGCTTCGTTGTGAGCAGCCTTGAGCACCTAGATTTGGAAACCCCATCAATGGAGTCTAAGACTTCTTTTCGTCTATATTCTCTTGGATTCTCAAAAGAATAACTAGGACTCTTAGTTGTGGACCAGCGGATGTTCAGCTCCATACAGCAAAGCCAGGCCACGTCGAGCCTCCAGCAACAAGCCCCGCTGCTTCATTCAAATCCGAGATCTACCAATGAATTATTTCTTCAGAACTTGCAGCGCACTTGGCATAAACAATTTCGGAGATGGAAAAGCCTTCACTCCCCATGTGCGCAACTCTGCTTGGCAGCCCGGCGATGCGCAGCTCTTCACGTGCTTCCTTGGGCTGTCCCAGAGCGACGAGCACCAAGCTCAGGTTGTGCCTTGAGTCTTATACTGACACTGACTTCGAAGCAGCGTGACAGAAGAAACTTCACAAACAAATCAGAGAACTTGGAGTGCAGTTTGACGAGTCGAAGGCAAAACAGAGCCACAACCGGTTTACACTTCAATAGCTCGGTTTCGACAAACCGTTGAACGGCTTATTGTATTTCCAAGTGCCCCGGCTGCGCAGAGTAGAGCTGACCCTAAAGAATGAGCTTCACTCAAAAATGAAGCTTTAGGACATGAACTAACACTGCAAGAGTAAAATGTTTCTGCAGGAGACCCGTCACTTGTTCCCTCACCATGCGCATATCGCTTCGAGTCATGTGGGTGTTGGTTTGAGACTTTGTTCACTCAAAAGGCCGGGCCTTGGCATCACACTGCTTTAGGCCTGGCATAGGGACGGTGGTCACTCTCTCCACAGCCTACCATGCGCTTGTGCTTGTTTGGGCATGCAGTGCAAGCAAGGTAGGTGACTGTAGGTGATTGGTGTCTCCGCTTCACCGGTTGCTTAACTTGTTTCACCTATTCTCTCATTGGTCAACATGAAAATGCCTGCTTTGACTCTTTGAGTTGCTCGTTGAGGTCTCAGCTTGGCATTGGAGTTGGCAGTTGAATTCTGTAGCTAGGTTGGCAGGACAAACTCAACGAATTTGTGTGCGCTGATCACAGTGGCCACTTTAAATGTACAACTGTACAGTAACTCATATAACAAATTCGTTAGCCTATGTGTGGGCCAAGTCTTAAGGCTGGAGGCATGAACCGAACACTTGCTTTACGACTGCACACGTCCACACCCAAGAAAGGAAAATGCGTTGCACTTGATTGCATGAACCAGAAAAGTGCGCGCATCTTCCTTGAAGGCTTTCAAGAGCTGCGGCGCCTTCAATAGCTTCTTGAAAGAGCATGGCAGCTTCGCGTAATTGACCCTGCTGCCACAAGCCTGTGGCTGTGGTGACCTTCAAATGCAATCTGCACTTTTGGATATTGCAAGCAGTGTGAGTTTGCCTGCTCTGCGCCTGCAAAACAGATCCATGTGGTATCTACCGACAAATGCACGGCACAGGCCACAGACTTTATTCGATTGTCCATGTTTATGTTTATCTCTTAAGCTGTTTCGGAAACTTCTCTAGGTCGGAGGCCATCTCTAGGCCATCGCTATTAGGTTTTGCGGAACCTTCTCTGAGGGATTGACCTGTTGCTTCAAAAGGTCCAAATCTGGAGCTTCTTGAGACTCTTCCTGCAATGCTGTATCTTGACCACATGTCTCCGTAACTTCGGCTCACGCTCCGCAACTCTAGAAATCCCTAAAACTGGCCTAAACATCTTACGTTCAATTACTGTAGTTGATTCTGAATCTTGGATTTCAGGTTTTATTGATCCTCGCCACCTTGCGCTTGGCGACATATTGAGCCATGCGTTCTGTCAGCAGCAGCAGCGCTCGCCCGCGAAATGCTTGTCGGCAAAGGCCGCAATTGTGCCCCTCCGTTGCAAGAAAACCCAAATCTGCGTTGTCTTGTCAAGTATACTTTGTCAAGTTGTGTTGCTGCTGACAACTGTGTCAAGCACTTACGGGACCGTCCACCTAGTTTACCAGCACCCCACGACCCGGTTTCACAAAACTGTAAGAGAAAAAAATATACCATAAAATACCAGCATAGACCCCAAACAGGTTAGTCGGTAAAAATTGTTGTTCCCTGCCTCACAAAGCAGCGAACAAAGCACATCAGCAGGAGGATATAAGGAGGACAACAGAGGGCACAGGGTTGGCCAGAGCGGCCAGAGAACAACAGGGGAACAAGAGGAGGAGGGTTGGCAGCAAGGCCAGAGAACAACAGCAGGGTTGGCCAGTCAGAGGCCAAGAGGAGGACACAGGGTTAGCCAGAGCGGCCAGAACATTATCGGGCCCCGTCTATAAACAGTATGAGAAGGGCCCCTACGCAAACCCCCTTCTTTCGCGGGCGTCCGATATGTCCGATTGGGCATTCTAAACACTTGGCCACAGAGTTCAGCGGTGCGGCCAGTCAGTGTGGCTAGGGCTGGTCAGCGCGGCCAGACGACAACAGCAGGATAAGAGAAGGACAAGAGGAGGGCAACAGCGGGACAAGAGAAGACAAGAGGAGCACAAGACCCAACCACAGAGCCAGAGGACAACAGCAGGACAACAGAAGGACAGAGCCCGGCAACACAGCCCGGCCACAGAGTTCAGGGGCAGCCAGTCAGTGTGGCCAGCTTATTTTCTAAGATAGAACCCGAGGGGAGGACACAGGGTTGGCCAGTGGCCAGAGGACAACAGAGTGAAAAAAGCAAGCCAAGAGGGGGACAAGACCCGGACACAGAGCCCCGACACAGAGTTCAGGGCACGGCGAGCCAGCGTGGCCAGCCTTGTTTCTTAAGATAGAACCCCACCGGGTAAACTGCTTGGTGGAAACAATGCAAAATACATGGTATGTATGAACCTATGCCTGATGGCCATGACGTTAGTTTGGATGTTGATGAAATGGAGTCAAGGGTTGACCAAAAGTGGCAAGGCGTATTGAAATTGCTTCCAAGAAAAACGGCAGGGAGTCTGGAGGTGATTACAAACAAACTACACCGGATAGACCCCAGATAGCAGGTCGGAGTACAGGTTTAAAGGACACGCCACAGACGGCTGCCACCGCAGCGCGCAACATCAGACCAGTCCGTCCATATGCGCAACATCTATCAGCTGACTGCGCCCGCTTTGCCCAACGCAGACGTAGGACTGCAAGATCGGCAAGGACCAGCCAAAGCTGCCCGGGCGACATTACGATCATTGCCAGACGTCATCCCTTGACATGGCGTCATTCCTGGCATGACACGATGTCATTCCGGGCATGAGATGATGTCGTCCCTGCCATGACATGAGGTCACACTGGCATGATGTCATCCCTGGCATGACAGGATGTACTATGCGGCGTGACATGATGTCATCCACGAGGGGAAACGATGCATACCACAAGGCATTACACGCATCAATGCGTCAGGCACGAGGATACCGCCCCTGGCGGGACATGATTTCACCCCTGGCATGACATGACATCATTCTGGGCATGACACGATGTCATCCTTGGCGTGACATGATGTCGTCCCTGGCACAACATGATGTCATCTTGGGCATGATTCTGGGCGTGACATGACGTCATCCCTGGCATGACATGGTGCCGGTGATGACGGCAGCCAGGGTCAGAGCTTGGTGGGCCACATCGTCCCAAAATGCATGGCCACAGCAGGCTTCGTAGGTCAGCAGGAACAGTGGCAACAGGCACAAAACGCTGCTCCAGCAGCAGCAGCAGCAGCTGCTCCTGCACCTGCACCTGCATGCACCTGCGCCAGCACGCCCAAGCAAAACGCCGCGATCCAGCACCAGCGGCAGCAGCAGCAGCAGCAGCACCAGCACCAGCACCCGCACCAGCACCACGCAAGAAAACGCCGATCCAGCACCAGCATCCGCACAAGCATCTGCACCAGCACCTGCACCAGCACGGGCAAAACGAAACGCCAATCCGGCACCAGCACCAGTCCAACGAAAAGGCTGTTACGAGTCACTGATATGGATTCTCGATGCGGAATCAACGTACCTGCTTCGTGATGACTTTTCATTTCCCACTGGGCCCTAGTTGTTTAACTACAACAAGCTTGCCAGCCTTTGCACCTGTTTCGAGTTCTGCAGACAAGTGCTCGCCGTTCGATTTCATTTCATGGTCAAACCGCCTTACATACCTTTAACCTGGCTCCTGAGGCTTTCATACCTAGGTGGGCGTGTGGCATATGGCATTCGATTTTAGTACGCATTATCTCGAGTGTGTGTGTGTGTACCTACGCTAGTGGTATCCACATACTTTTCATTGACACCAATCAGGCAATCCTATCGATATTGTATTTGTGGTGCCAGCACTACTCGCCAAGGATGGCAAGGGGACGGAACAAACCACTTGATGCTACTAAAGTTGTGAGTGAGACCCCTTTTAGCCTTTGGGCCATTCTGTATTGACATGTCCAATCTGTCTTCCCTGACCTGCATGGTAGATGTTGTTTTTACAGAGGCTGATGCGCTTTTCCGGGAGGGGTGCCATTTCTGAATATGGGGGAGTGGGTGTGTGAAATAGCCTGCATACTGCGTGGCCATGAAGTTGATTGAACCCATGTCTTGCAAGGGATCTGTGTCAAAAGTGCTGAGATTCAGACTGAACAAACAAAGAGGGTGAGGCAAGGAAAAACTGAAACTGCCTTTTCAAAAAACAAAGTCGGCGATCCCGCCTTCTCTGGTTGTGCCTCCCATTGCAGCAATAAACACTCTTGGCAAATGTAGCACACACTCCCGCGGCAAGCGCAGCAATCAAGAAGTTCCCGATTTTCCCCTGCCAAAACAGAAACGACAGACTCGAGATTAGACAAGAAATCAAGAACTACTTTCGCTCTTTGTAGTCTGGATTAGACCGGTCTCGGCAGACTGACGAACAATAGGCCAAAGCAGTCTTTGCATCCTGGCCTGGCCCCTCCAGGCAAATGCGGCATCCATACCGCTCCTTTGGTACAGCTACGTCTGCAGCCGGTACACTTGGAGGCGCAAACTCCACAGTGACGCCAGGCTCCTCAAATCCATTGCATCCCCCATCACCACCATTCCGCATACGTGGCAAATCTGGTGCACTTTGCTTCGAAACGGGTCTAGGGATCTTTGCATCCTCCCTTTGAGCACATGAAAATATGTCGCTACAATATATATATATATATACCACGACATGTTACGCAGCAAGAAATGTCTCCTCCTCTCTTCGCAACAATGCCTCTGCAAATGCAATAGGTCGCTGAACCGCACCATTTTGAGCAGCTGGTCGTAGAGCCACTCGGATGCAACCAGCCTTCCGGCTTCAAGCTGTGCTGATTGGGCTGTGCACACAATATCAAGCACCATCATCCAACCGTTCCCCGCATTCACGTGGAGCAACTTCCTCACATCAAAACCAGCCGCAGAAAGCTCCTGGCAGTGTTGTGTGAGCATTGTGACATCGAAATAGAAGGCGTGTCCTCAGTCTCCCAGCCATCAAACAGCTCAGTCTCCATTCACACAGGTCATTCGGAAAGCACTGAGACCAACAGTTGCCTTGATGTCAAGGACCACTATCCTATGAATTCTACCATATTCTGTATATGATCTTTGATATGATATTTATATGTATATATATATATATCCATTTGCATACATATGCATGGTATGTACGACGAACGTCAAATGTTCGGTTGCTTGAATGCCGACTCAAGTTTGTTGCTTGAGCATTCACAGGAAGAGTGACCACTTCACAGTCTTGACCTGCAATGGAGACATGTTTTCTGCTAGCAGCAAAGCATGTTGGAAGGCGTCTTTTCTTGCATCCTTGTGCTCAAGCGAGTTTTCAATGTGGCTGCGCTACTGGATATTTACAGTTTGCCATTTATGGCCATAATAAAATCCTGTAGGAATGCCTTAAAAGTTGTTTTCTTCAAGAAGGTTGCAAAGGCTGCATGAAGTGACATGCATTCCACATTACATCCGAATACAGTAGCTTTAAATGGAACGTGAGAGTACGAAGGGTACACAAGTGGGACTTCACTCCAAGGACACTCCACACGGTGACACTGACGCTTGATCTGGATTCGCACTGAGTTCTGTCAAGTTCTTTCAACTTAGGCGACCGCTACTCTCGCATCTCTCACGAAGAAGCGATGGACAGCTTGGCCGACCATCGCCTAGAGGACCACTTGCTGAACGCCTCACATATATGAGATGCCATCCATGCCATCTCATGCTGTCTCCGTTTCAAGAGGTGCACCAACTTTCATGGGTTCCCGATTCAAAAAAAAATCAGAGAGAAAAGCACTTCTTTGCAAAAAATGAAGACGAAGAAGATAATGAAAATGAAAAGGACTTTCTTGGGGGGTAGTTTTGGGGTTTCAACTCTGAGGCACTGACGGGGCTGTGGCATCGGAGCTGGTGCAGCTCCTTGCGGCTCTTCACGCCACCACCTGAGGAAGATGTAGTGCAAACATTGGCTTGTTGAAAGGAGGGTCGAGAGGTGTCTGTTTTTTCTATGTTCTTTCTTTTTTTCGGAAGAACAGTTGTAGAGTTCGTCAAGGGCGGAGAAGCGTATGGCGTATCTCAGAGTTCAGAGCTAATTGGTGGATTCGAGTCAGGAGCCTCTCTTGGAAATCGCCATGCTTTAGGTTTGCGCAAGCCCCAAGTTTCGGCACATGTGAATTGAGCACAAAAAGAGAGCTGGCTGAAACAAGGCCAAACATCATCAGGGCTGAGAGACTAGACAAAAATGCATGGCCCTGAATGAGCGAAACAAGCAGGAATGCTAATGCATCAACAATATTGCAAGATTGAGTGTGAAAAAGTCTGAGGAGAGGCGTAGTGGGCCAACCAACGACTCCATGCCCACCATGACAGGAAAAGGGAGTGCCGCTTCGTTCATGATGCCCACTGTTAAAGTCTTTCTTGTAATCTTGCGTCGCAAGCCCTACAAACCAAACAGGAAGAAATTGCCGTGAAAAAACTGTTACCCAGTATAAGTGCGATACCTCTCCAGCTCGTGGCGCTCCAAGTACACGCTGGGCATCTCCACAAGCTCACAACTGGCACAAAGACTTGCGTTTTGGGGTGTGGAACTGCAAACAGGACAAAGCCAAAAGCCTAAAGGGATCAAGAAACAAAACAAAGTTTCACTAACAGGCACTCTGAAACGAGCTGACATCAACCGCCTGCGATCATTTGGAATGTACACGTTGCGTCTGTCGAACCAATCATACCTACGAATCACGAAGCAACTATAATACTGTATATACATGACTTTTCACATTGCATAAGGCATGCCTTCAAAAGATCGTGACATCTCACATTGGTGAACATGAAGAACCAGCTTCATATTTGTCTAGCTTTCACTAGTCAAATCTTGTAGAGCTTTCGACTACAGTATCTCCGCTCGTCGTCCTGCAACTGAGAATCAAGCGTGTGCTGGGAGACTGGCTTGTTCCGGTCGTGTCTCAGCCCAGGTGAGAGAAAACCAGAGCCCAGAAAGAGAGCTCGTTTAAAAATATTTCTCGCCGAATCTGTGCTTGTCTATTTTGTTCTTCTTCTTATCTATTTGGAGCTCCATTTGAATGCTTTCTTATGTGAAAAGGCCTTCGGCTGGTAGTAGCATAGACTGGCATAGCCTCCTAAATTGTTGAGGAACCTGATTCTCACTGTCATGTTTGCCAGCAAGGTCAAAGCCTGTGAACAGTCACCACAAGAACGAGGCCCATGACGCCCAAACACAACTCCGACGGCAACACGTTTGCGCAAACGGTAACTCAGGTGACAAGTTGAGACGCTTTGTAAAAGGCCATGGAAAGCGCAGGTTGTCAAAGTCGAACCACTCCTCTGGTGGCAGCACCTCACAGTTTCCGAGTGTCAAGGTGACCTAGCCTGCACTAGAACTAACAAGCAGATGTAAATGTGGCCAACATGATCAATGTGCTCACAAAAATATTCCACATGCAGAGTGAAGAAATATGAATCAGCGCTGACCGTTTAAGACCGCTTCCATCTGACTGAGCTAGTGGCTGCACCCCTAATGTGGTACCTGGACCAACTCAAGTCAAAGCTGCGAGCAAGTCGGTCCCTCCTCAAAGCCCTCTTCTCAAGCGCACTGGTCGAGGATCTCTTCCCTAGTTTGAAGCTGTCCCCTGGAGTCCATCTTTCAGCAAGAAAACTGAAACGGGTCTCAGGTCTCTTTCTGTTTGTGTCAGCACAGCCAAAGCGGGACAGTAAAATTAGACATTCAAAAAGTGTGCTTCAAGAATGATGATATTGAAAGGAACATGCCAACTAAATCAATGTAGAAATGGCCAGGCCACTTGCAGGCAATCAGTTTCTCACCGGAATACCTCTGGAGCTTGTGTTCAGGGTGCTTGCACGTGGAAAAGAGGCAAGAGTACCAAGGAGCGCCTGCTTCACTCGCCGGGTTACAAGTGCTATGGCATCTTATGTTTTCCTAAACATAAACTCAAACTTCTTAGCAATCCACGGGGAAAGAAACATGCCACCACGCAAGGGAAACGGACATTGTCAATGTAACCTGCTCCCAATGTCCAATTGCCCGGGTCACGGATCCATGTAATGGGTACGGTGGATGCCACTGATGCTGTGCCCATCAGCTTCTACTGCGCTTCCCAAATGGCTCATGCCCGCGAGGACCATCTCCTGAAGCACAAACAACCCGACTTGCAGCGACGGAGTAGACCTAACTACCATGTTACCTGTCGGTTCATTTGGCCCCTGACACGCTCCATCTCCTCTCGCATCCTTGGAAGGAGCCCGACAATTTCAAAGGCTTAACACCAAATTCTCGAGGATCCGATCGCAAAGCGCATACCAACCACGAAGGATTGCACTCCCGGAAATAATGTTGGAAGTGGAAGACCACCTGTTTGTAGAGCAAAATGGTCATCCAAGGGGCGATGTTCCATTTCCATGAGTATTTCATGAATTGTACTGCTTGAAACAAAGGAATGACATGCAAAGAAACTTGCAGAATTTTCTGCAGTTGGCCACACCTGAAGTGCAAGTGTGCTGTGGAATGAGGTAGCGCGCCTGCCAGTTCTGCCTGGTTTTGTTCAGTTTGTGCTGATTGCCAGCAGCAGTATCAGCACAGAATCGGTTGCCGGTCTCCAAAAGACATCCTCCATATCCAAGTCAAAAAAATGCTTCTGTCTTATACCTTATACCTACCGACCTACCCCCCTAGGCGACCTTTCCTTACACCTGTTATTGCGAGACATCACGAGACATTTTGACGGCAACCCGACCTGGGCACTCACCTGGACACTTTTGCCTGTGATCCTTCCTGCTCGTCTACCTCTTTGGTGAGGTGATGACAAACTAGTGCAGTTCTCAGGTGTGCAAGAGCAACACATTTGGAAAGACCGCCTTCGTGGAGGAACCAAATGCCGGAAGTTGGCAACACCATGGGCAACGAGGACAAACAAAAGCAATAGGAAAAGGTGGGACCGTACCTTTTCTGCCTCGCAGCCAGATGGTCACGGCGTTTCGTCGCTTTGCCTCTGCTTTGTTCACCCGCTTGCCCCGCTCGGCAACATCACATTGAACCTTGTTTTGTTCTCAAAAAGAAGCAACGCATGTAGCATGGACCCGGTTGGCAAGGAACTATATAGCCACACACTTCCAGACCCAAGGTCGGCTTCGTCAAAGGATACGCTTCTGGCACTGAAAGAAGCAAATTGATGGAGGTGGAGAGACTAAGCTACAGCTAAAGAAAGGAGACACTAAGCATTGAAAAGCTTGATAACTGGATAGATACAAAGCACAAAATCTATGAAGACAGTTTGTGATGGAAGAAGGCAATAGAAAAGCTTGTGTGCCGTGCTCAACTGCCCTCTCACAGTTTTGGCCTTCAGCCAATGACAACATTTGATCGAGTCAAATTGTGAGCCCCTAGTAGCTTCTTGTTCCTAGTAGTAAGGCCAGGAGCCCCTAGTAGCGTCCTTGCTCCTAGTAGCGATGCCAGGAGCCCCTAGTAGCTTCTTGCTCCTAGTCGTTTTCCAAAATAGAAGCCCAAGCAGCTGTTTCTGCTGTGCAGCATCCATCGCATCTAGCAGGCGCCGCGCCTCTAGTCCGTGCACTGCCCTTACGCCCTACTGCAAGCGTAATGGTAAGACTAGTGATATAATGGAGTTACTGAATAGTGGCCTCCAACCTAATAGCGATGGAGACTAGCCAATAGAGTTGCTGAAGTCGGCCAAACAGGAGACCGAACCGATGAGCATTGAAGCAAGAACGCTAAAAGAAGCTTTCTGAGCTTCTTTCAACTTTGCAAGCTTCCCGGTCAAATCCCTTGGCGCCTTCACAACATCAACCCACTCACCATTTGGACCTCTAGCGAAGCGCTGAGTATATTGCCGAGCCTCAGGGTGCTGTTTCTAGAAAATGAGCGAAGCAATGTTGCAAGCATGTACTGAAAAACTATGCAACAAAAATCTACTAGTAGCCAAGCGCATTTCTACTAGTAGCCTCCTTGCTCCTAGTAGCGATGCCCTTGTTACTAGTAGCGATGCCAGGAGCTGAAAAACTATGCAACTCAATCCCTTGGAGATGTGAC